GTACTGCAGAGTGACACTGGGACGTCACATGAGGGAGGAAAGGGTCAAACCTAGTGCCATCTGTGGTAAGTTACTCCACACCGTCTGAGTTAAGCTTAAGAACACTCTAAAGTCTCAGTTAGATCTTTAAAAAAGTGACATATACTGAATTAATTGTTTAATTTGTTTGTTTTCCCTAACTTACACATTCCAGCCCAATTTTCTACAAATAAACTCCTATTTAGGCAGTATTTATAAAATGTCCAAAGAAAAAAGGATATAAGTGAAAATTATTCAATTTTAAGTTAAAGTTATTCATTTTTGTTTCAGATAAGCATGTGTGTGTTTGAATGTGTCAGAAATAGAGTATGTGCATGCATGAGTGCGTGTTTGTGTGAGTGAGAGAGTGGATGAGTGAGTGCGTGTGTGACTGCATAAGTTTGTGAATGAGTGAGTAAGTGAGTGTGTGTGCACTGCACTGTCTGCTTTTCGGCTGAGTGTGTTTAGTTCTGATAGAATAAGCTGCGCCGGCTGAAGGGATGAGCTGCTCCATCTGCTTTTCAGCTGATCGTGTTTAGTTCTGATAGAATCAGCGGTGCCGGCTGAAGGGACGAGCCGCTCCGTCTGCGTTTCAGCTCACAGAGCGGCACACAGCACTAGCATATTAGAACCATTGAATACATTTATCTGCAACCAAATTGGTTTTATTTGATTTAAAACAGATTTCAAATCTTTGAATAGTAGTGTTTCTAACATAACTTACCTCCTAGTACTGTAGACATGGGCTCTGCTGTGCTGTCTCATCACTAAACAACTATGTGCTTCAGTAAGGTTCCATGTAGAGGTAGTGGTTTCAGTAGGGCTCTATGGGACACGTTTCAGTACTACTTCAGTATGGTTCTATGAGACGTGCTTCTGTTGGATTCTATGGGCTGTGCTACTTCTATGGGATGTGCTTCAGTAGAGCTCTATGGGACAGTTTCAGTAGGGTTCTATGGGTTGAGCTTCAGTAGAGGTCTATGGGACAGGTTTCAGTAGGGTTCTATGGGACATGCTTCATTAGGGTTCTATGTGACATGTGACTATGTCACTCGCTAATGTTGACAATCTTCAAATGGGCTGATCAGGAAGGATTAAACTTGGTGGACTTTTTCTCCTCCAAAGTGAAGCACAGTTAAGCACTAGGTTCTTTAGTGTAGGGATGTGTGATGTGGAGTTGAACATAAAGATCCTCTCCGCTTGGCTAAATTTGTGTCGGTTGGAATCTGTAACAGCGGCAGACGGAACCAGACGCTCGCAGACGAGGCTAGTGTTAAGAGCTTTATTAACAAAGGGGCAATTCAAAAGCACAGTCGTTTACCAGAAAAATGAGTTTGATAACCAAAGATCCAAAAGGGCAAATAAAAATCAAGGTCATAAACTGAAAACAGGTCACACACAGAAACTTGCTAACAGACAGGAAGAAAGGCTCGGTACGCACCGCTAAAGGTGATGATACTTCACAGAGTAGAAAAACAGACAGGTTATGTACACAGGAGAACAGGTGGATGTGATTAGAAGTCTGGAGAAGCTGAAAAGTGATAGGTGGATCTAGATGAGTCCTGAGTCATGGGAGGGAGCAAGGGGTTCTGGGAAATGTAGTCTGACGCGGCCGAGTCAGCTGTAACTGTGCCGGAGGGAGGTGTGACAGAATGTTTGCGGTTCAGATGTACATTCAGCGTGTTCAGTTAACTAAGCTTGCCCCTGAGGGTCATACAAAGTTCAGATGTTTTCAGCTTTTGTGTGGTGCGCTTCAGCCAAGTCAAACTAGCCTTTAGTCCATGCTGGGGAACTATCAGACATGCTGAAAGCTCTCCTTTTGGCCACAATGAGGACGAAGGAAGATTTTTCAGCCTCATAAAAGTTCTATAATGCAACCATTTATAGCCGGATGTGATGATGCAGGTACTGTGAGGTCTATAAGCTGTTTAAGCCTTAAGATTTTTTAATAATTAATTGGTCTATAACTATTATTGTCAGTGTAGCATAGCTAAATTAAATTAAGGTCAGATTCAGAGTAGTTACTTTATTCACTAAATCCAGTGATTTTTATTTATCGTTTTATTTTTTTTATATTGTGCATGTTAATCAAACATGAAGGACTCATAGCACTTTATTAATGTGTTAAGATATATCTGTCCTTATTCACAAAGTTTGAAGAAAATAGGATTAATAACACAACAGTTTATATATATATATATATATATATATATAAAAAAAAAAAAATTATAATATATATATATACTTATATATTATATATAATATATTATAAGTTGTGGTGATATCACTGGGAAAAAAACATCTCTATTAAACTGTATTACTGTATACTAATGTATTACTAGGAGTCTCTAGAACCTCTTTCACTCTATCTATCTACAACTCTTTATCTGTACAACTCTATCTCTCTGTCTGTCTATCTATCTATCTTATGTATTTATCTTTTATCCTTAGTTCTTCCCTATCTTTCTGAAACTGTATTTTGTGTGATTGTGTCAGCAATCAAACTACTGTTCTTCTTAAGTTTTATTTTTAATCAAATTTTCTGCAGTTTTTTTCTTTGTTATTTCATCCCTCGGTCCTCCCATAGACTCTTATTCATTTTTATCAACACCTAGCATCCACCTAGCAACACATTAGCATCCACCTAGCAACAATAACAACTCAGTTAAGCAAGGCAACTGCCTAGCAATGCCTTAGCAACCACCTCATCTATCTTTCTATATCTCTATCTATATTAAATATGTTTCTAGTCTTTAACTTTTCTCATATTTTTATTTCTCGCTTTGTAAGCGCTGGTATTTCCTTCAGGAAATGCATATCTAGTTTTATTTTCTTACTCATAACAGACAAATGTGACTATAGACGCAGAAATATAATTCAGTTTTTTTTAATTATGTTTCAGATCAAGTGCATAAACCTTCACCAAAAGAGGGAATCATGGGTGGAATCATATCTGCAGTGGTTTTTGACCTCATCGTGGCTGGCATTGTTTACGTATGTACAGGTAGGTCATGTCCAAGCAGAACACAAAATCAACACCTTCATAATGCAGGACATCAACTGTAGGGTGTCTGTATGTGACCAGATCAACAGACAGAAGGGAATGGTTGGACAGTTTGACTGACTGGCAAAATCACCAGGCCTCAATTTTAAAGGCCTCTTTACATCGATTCGGATTTTTACGGATGAAAAAACACTCAAGTTTTGAAAACGAACATGCGTATGTTGCAACGAATTCAGAACTGACAGACTGCAGTGCTTCATAAATTCAGTTGAAAATAAGTTGGAGCCTGCTCTGTTTTCTGCATTGTATGGATGCATTAAAAATCGGGCTGACCAATCAGAGCTCAGTTGTCATGGTTAGTTCCAAACAAAAGTGCATCAGGATGGTTGATGGTTGCTTGAAGCAGAGTGCCAAAGCTTATATATCAATCAACGCTGACCACAAAAATGCAGAGGGTAAATATGTTGAGGGTAAATATGAGGGGAGTATGTTACAGTGACTGGCTGTAGCCTTTTTTATTTTATCTAGGTGCATTCTAGTCTGTTCGTGTCCACAAGGAACTGCAAACCATTAGCTTCCGTAGCTAACGAGTGCTTCTTTAGTGAGAAAAGTAACAAGCAGCCTCAAATAGAATGGGGTGAACCCAGTGTGTGTGTTGTTTAGCACAGTACTTCAAAGAACAATGATGACAAAGTCGTACTTTGTACTATTTTGTTCCATGTTGCACTATGTTGTTCCTGGAGGAACGTAATTTCACTTCACTGTGTACCTGTACATAAATGGATTGACAATAAAAGCCTCTTGACTTGACTTGAATCAATGATGTTTTTCAGGGAAACCATTTCTTCTTTTTCTTTTATCTTCTAAACATCCAATTTGGTGTAAACATCCTACTATGTGAAAAAAATAATCTGAATAAATCGTCCTTGGTGTGAATAGGCATTAATTCTAGTAGTAGTAAATAGAAAAATGAAATAGAAGTAGTAAATAGAAGTAGTAATTCTAGTTTAGTAAGTTTATTTTATGTAAATTATGATTTTAGAAACTAAGCACCTTCTGAAAGTGACTAATTACTCACTCAACTGTTAACAAGCTAAATATTCTTCACAAGGGTGCACTATTCAGTGGTGCACTATTCAGTGGAGACTAGCTTGGCACACGCCTCCACAGGAATTTGATTGGCCACCACAGGCCCCACTGAAACTGGTAGTTGATACATTATTAGGCTGTTAATCTTGGACAGAGTTGTGCTGTTGCATTGTACAAGTGATTCATCTCACATATCGCATCTAAACCAGAAAAGACATCAGGACTGCTGTTCTGTAGTCATTCAAGCACTGCAGTAGGAGAAAACATATGGTCACTAGTCAAACAAAAGGCAAAATGCTTGTCATGACAGAAGAACCTTGCTTTGCACACAGGGTACTCACACACACATATATGTCACACCAGCACAAAAAACACACACCACCACCACGTCAGTGTCACTGCAGTGCTAAGAATGACCCATCACCCAAATAATACCTGCTCTGTGGGGGTCCTGTGGGGGTTTCTGACCACTGAAGAACAGGGTAAGAAAGTGTGCAGAGAAACAGATGGACTACAGTGCTTCTATATGGTCAGTGGAGCTGATAAAATGACTAATAAAATGTGTGTGTATGTGTGTGTGTGTGTGTGTATTTTAGAAGCATAATGACATTCGTCATAATTCTAAAATCATAGGTGTTGATTTAGCTGGTTAATAAACATGCACCTTCAAAGAATTACAGAATACAAAAATAGTCAAGTCTCTGCTGAAATTTCATCAGTGCTTAAAGCAAGAAATAAAGCTTAGATTCTACACACAGAGCACCAAGATTACTGGCTTTGATTTAGGCAGCTTAGAAACAAATGCATATCCTTAATTAGAAACATTAAATCAGATTATTATTTGTTTTTAATTCACAAATCCTATTCAAACCCAGCAAAATTCTGGAAGGCAGTGAAATCTAATTAAAATTAGTCCTCCATCTCATTTTCTGCTTTTGTAACTACTGATGGATGTTTGATATCTGACCAGAAAGAGGTTTGCTTTGCTTCATGTTACATTTACCTTTGAAAGCATTTGATATTATAGATGAGTCTTTGCTTTTAAAAGCTTCCTAGTATTGGTTTTGATAAAAACATGCATATAATTGCTTTCAAAGTTACCTCATGGATAGACAGCATTATGTGACTTTGGGTAACGTTAACTCTGAGTTTGTGGCTATTTTAAAAGTTCCACAAGGCTCAATCCTGGTGATACACTCACTCACTCATACTAATTATTATGAGCTTTATGCTAATGTCTATCGTATCACTACATGTTTATTTATTAGTAGCTATGATGCTAATTATTTTGTGTGAGCAGAATAAGATTTTTACTTATGTTTTCGGTGATGTGTAGACCAGAGGGCTGCACTACCGTAAACTCAGTATCTTGCAGCGCAGGACTAATTTTCAGTGTAGCTCTTAGGAGTGGGCGGAAATCAGATCCCTTCAGACAGGAGTGGGCGGAAGCACGCATATAGAGAAATTCCACAAATTAATGAATAGCCTAAATAAAGTAGAACAATCACTAAATCATATATGTAAACAGTATAACAGTAAAACAGTTAAAACGAATGAAGTCATTCTTGAGTACCGATCACGTGAACAACATGCAGATTCTCATAGGCCTGGTTCACACATACTGAGTGGCATGAGTGACGCGGAAAGTCTTGCTTTTCATTTGGTGCCCGTGAATAGATTTGGTCCCAGAGAATAGATTCGGAGCGTTTTTTTATAAGCCATAACAATAATGAACATTAAACAGAAGACCGTATAAAAACTATTAAAAAAAAATTTTTATGTAATTTATTACAAAATGCTAGTTAAATGTTCTGTGCTGCAAACAGATTTCCTGGTTGGTCTACCAGGCTTGAAAATTTGCTGAAATGATGAAATCTTGCAGGAGCAGGACTGAGAAAACTGCAGACATTTATGTAAGAGTGGTCAATCACTTCAATAGTACAACCAGTATTAGCTACTAATAAATAAAATCTAGTCCAATCCAATAAACCAACATTACTCATGCTGCTCTCTTAACATGTTGGAGTTAAAAGTTAGAATTTTTTGTTTGTTTTCATAAGCTCCATTATGTCTCAACGAATACATTTACCACTTTTCTTTTAATTCTATTCGCCAAAACCCAACATTCACGACCAATTCACATTCTGCTTCTTGTTAAAATCCCAACAACTGTACAGAATTATTGTAATCAGCCTAAATAACTGCAGTCGAATAATTAAAATGATTAAACTTGAATTCTGATTGTTCCGATCGATCTTATTTTTGGGATTAGTGTAATATGACTTTGTAAATATACCAATTTTATTGTCTATTAGACTAAAATGTAAAATGCAATCACTACCACACATGGCCCCATTAAAACCGTTTCATTACTAGAGAGACAACAACTGATTTCTTGTGTGTGTCAACATACTTGGCAAATAAATTTGATTCTGATTCTGATTTAGCAGTGCTACACAGTTTTGCTTGTTGGACAGTATTTTGTTTTTGGAGTGGATCCACACTGCCCTTTTATGTCCTGTAGTGTTTTAATCTCCAGGCTTGGGGACTCACTGTCATGCACAACTTGTTTCAACTTGTGACAGTCACAAGTCACAAGTCCTCTTTTCCATACAGCATACAATATCTCCTCGAGTATACATCACACACCTAGAGTGACAATATAACCAGTAAGCTACAGACCAAATACCTGATTTTGTCTTAACATGTGCATGTGTTCATTCTTTTACTTCTCTTTTTGCAGAAATAATACGAAGAATACCCATAGTGAAAGAACTGAAAAAAGGTAAAGTGAATTTTACTTTTACTACATGCTACAAATCACCACATGCTGCAAAGAAAGTTCTTTAGACTTTAGTCCAGCTTAAAAGGTAATCAATCACAGGAGAAGGGATCTATCTTAACCAGCTTCCTAGACAGCATGGGCATGTAGGTAAGACGTTTATGTGATGTGCATATAGCCATCATTAAAGACAGCTTGTTTGCTCATTGGCACAAGAGACATTGTTACCTGATGTTAAAGTGACTTCCATCTGCTTTTCTGACGATGCTCCTCAGCAGCAACCTGCTGTTTAGGAGCTTGCTGTGCTACATTTATACACCATTTAACAACATTTGACTGTGCTTTGTGTTTGGACAAGACAGCTGATGATTTTTTGATGCTGAGGCCAACAAGTCATGTATTTGCATATTTTAGCAATTTAATTTGCTTTTCGTGCTAATAATATATTGAGGCTGGTGCAACTAAATTTAACCCAGAAACAGAATTGATATCCAGCAGCCCTGCAGTTGATAAAATACTAGGAAAATTACTCTGATTATTCCTATACTTGCCAATCATGATTTACCTTTATGGTTTAATTATACATCTAGGTATAATCAATTAATGTAATAAAAATGACTTGCTTAAATAAAAACTGCCACTACTATATTGTTTCATTTCAATGGCTTAAACACTATATATTACTATTATTATAATGCATCATGATATTATCAACCACTAGCATATTTACCTGAGCTACTTGCATATTTCACTAGGCCACTGTCATATTTACCTTAGTTACTGGCGAATTTTATTCAGGCACTGCCATATTTACCTATATTTCACTCAACAAGTGGCATTTTTAAATTGGTTACTAGCATATTTTACTGTTCCACTGGCACATTTACCCCAGTTACTAGTATATTTCTGTAATGGGATGGCAAGAGGGGGGGTCCCAAGTGCATAGCGGGAAACCCATGAACTACAGTACAAATGAACCAAGAAGAAATTAAAAGTATATTAGAGTTATCATTATTATTTAAATGCTAATTATATGATTAATACTTTATCAGTGTGGATAAGACTCTGTGATGCTTGTGCACTTTTGGGTGAGAGCTCTCTCAGCATCGATCAAACTGCCAACATGACAAATGAAAGCCTGACAGATTGGCTTTGCACCACTGGGAGACACAGGCAAATGTGGAATAACACTCCTAAGATTCTGGGTGGAATATGGTAGGAAAAGGCAAACAAAAGGGATGCTGAGGCAGCATTCTCAAACAAAGGGAGGAATCAAAATGAAATAAAAATTATTGAGCAAAACAAGGCATTTCCTCTATGGGTAAGAGACGAAGATCTGTGTTGAGTTTAACACCCTCTTTTCCTTTTATTATTCCTATGGGAGCCGTTGGATCTTTTTCTCTTCTCAGCAGCTCTTTTTTCTCTTTTTTGCACTATTGGGGTTGTTTCTCTTTTTAGCCCTCTTTTTCCTTTCGCTTATCTTAGAAAGACACTAGAGTACTATACTGGTCAACGCTTTACAAAGGTGTGACAAAATGCTATTGTTTGCCATAAACTTAGTTGCTTTCAGTCCACCAGGTGATGAGAATCCAGGAGGCATCAAACCATGTATGTCAGTAAACCAGCAATGGTATTTGGTGTGGGGGGGCTGAGTCCCACAAAGGAATGGCCTGAGGCATGAGGTGTGGAATGTGGGTGGACCTGCAAGGAGGGTGGAAGACACACCCGGTAGGTGACTGGGTTGATATGCTGGTCGACCTTAAATGGACCACAAACGTAAGCAACAGCTTCTTGAACTCGACAAATATCAGGAGGTCCTTGGCAGAGAGTCAGACCTGCTGACCTGGGTGGAAAGTCAGGGCCTGGTGCCTTTTGCGGTCCACCACCCACTTCTTGGCCTCAGTCATGGTCAGGAGGGAAGCGCATGCCTTCTGCCATGCCCTCTAGCAACACTACACAAATAGCTCAGCAGATGGGACCCCAATCTCATGCTCCTCTTCAGCAAACATGGGCAGCGGAAACCTGATCTGATATTTGAAGGGCAACATGTCCAGTGACAAACGCCAGAGGGTGTTATGGGCATATTCTGCCCAAGACAGATGCTCAGCCCAAGAGGAGGGGTTGGTAGAGGTCAAGTACTGCAGAGCCTCTGGCCATTGGTAGGCCACAGAGGGTCCCATCACACAGCAGAAGGCCTTCCAGAAAGAGCTAGTGAACTGGGGTCCCTGAACCAACACCAGATTGCAAGGCATCCCATGAACCCTGCAACATGTTGTAGTAAAAGCTCCACTATCTCCTTGGCAGATTAAAGCCTGGATAGTGCCACGAACTTGCCTGACTTAGAGAAGTGGTCAACAAGGACCTGGATGATGGTGTTACCCTTAGAAGGAGGCAAGCCCATGACAAAGTCCAGGGAGACATGACACCATGGGTGTGCAGGGATAAGCAATGGGTGGAGGAGGCTTTAAGGCCATGACCTGGGTGCCTTGTTGTGTGCGCTTGTCTGTGCAGAAAGTCTAGGGTCCTAGTCACCTGTGGATGTCCAAAAAATGGTAAGGTGTGCCCCATAACAGGATTTGCTGCCGCACTGCCACGGGCATGAATATCTCGGGACTGCCTCCAATATCTGGCTCTTGCTGCAGAGCCTCCCTGATGGCAGTTTCCAGTTCCCAGTGGAGAGGAACCGGGATCCAAGGAGCAAGAATGATGGGCTCTGGAGAAGGGTCAGCACCCGGAGGTGCCCACTGTCAGGACAGATCATCTGGCTTGGTGTTATGAGACCCTGGCCTATAGGACAGCAAAAAGTCGAAGCAGCTGAAAAACAGTGCCCATTGGGCTTGAAGAAGTTAGCCTTTTGGATTTACACATAAGTTCTTATGGTTGGTCCAGATCACAAAGGGGTGTTTAGCTCCATTAGCTCCTTTAGTTCCATTCCTCCATGGCAAGCTTAACGGTAAGAAGCTCCCTGTCCTCAACGTCATAATTGCATTTGGCCTGGGTGAGACAATTCTGCTGATGTGCCCAATATGTTCCACAAGGGACAGACTATAAATGAGGATGGCGTCAAGTTATATCCCCTGGCACTCGTTTCCAGTCGGGTTGCCACCTAGTAGAGAGCTGCCTGAACCCATACAGCTTGGCAGTGCTTGCCTGCCTGGCCATGAACCTGGGTTTTGATCTTTGGAGCTTGTTGGGAACTTAGACCTAGAAATGGCGACACAAAAATGTGTTTCAGCCTGTCATCATTCCTGAGCCTCAGCCTGCCTACTGCCTAATGACCCTCGTTGATGCTGCTTTTTTCCCCCAGGAGGACAAGGACCATGGCACAGAGATAGTTTCCTGCCTTGTCCGCACAGATCTAGTTTCTTCTTCTTGGTCCTGCCAGGACTTAGCTTCTCCCTCTCTCTCCACTGCATTCAGCTGAAAAAGTCCCCTCCCCGTCACGTCACGTCCTGCTGTTTCACTCCTGGACATGTGCCAAGTTTGCAGGGTGGGGAGGTCAGCCTGGAGAGTTGTGCCCATGTTGGAGGACAAGAACTTGCCATGGCCAGAATGCTGCAGTGACTCAATGCCTGGGCACGGCTGGGTGCTCCAGAGAGTAAAAAGTGTGTGGGTGTGCTCAGCATGAAAAAACTAACCATAAATATTATTTAATATTATTCACCTAAATATTTAAAATTAAGTTTAAGAGACCAAATTGGAATTAAATGGACTCTTCTAAGCCATGTTCTAATGTTCTAATTCTATATGCTCTTTTATTGACACACCAGCAGAAAAGGCACATACAGACACTTGAACTCAAGGAGGTCACCTACACAACTGGATCAAATCATATACTAACATATAGATTGTTGTGGAATTATTGTTGTTTTGGTGATGCTGATGGTTTTACAGAATAAACTGTGCTGCACACCGGTGGTCAAGCATTGCGCAGCTATGTGCTAACATTAGCACATATGAGCTAAAGCTGAAGTTCATCTCAAGTTTGGTGCAAACTTTGAGTGGCTATGGCTTTTAATGTTATGGTTCTGGATTTTAGTTTAGTGGTAGCGCCAGCCTGTGATGGGTTGCTATAGCATCTTGCAGTGTGACATTCCCCAAATTCCTAAACACTGTACAAATGAACCTTTGTGGTATTTTTGTTTTTGTTTTCTTTAAGATAAAACAAATTTGATGTAAGAATTGTAATGAGTAATGATTGTAAATTTTATTTCTCCTTTTGCATGTCATTTTGTAAATACTTTAATAAGAGAATAGGGAAGAGTAGATTGATGTAAATAATATATGTGAATATGAACTATTTTCTGAAAATGTTCTAAATTGTAACATTATAAAAACCTTTGGGCACAAAGCTTTGTCTCTGATATATGCATACATGTTAATTATTACATCTGTTTTTTTTATCTTGATCACAAAATCAGTGATACCTGGTTTGCTTCAGTCAAAAGAGACGCATAGGGACTCATCAGTGGAGGACACTTTGCTTCTGTCAGAAGAGAAGCAGCATGAGGACTCATTGTGTGCTCGTTTTCTGAACGTCCTAGAAAGTTGCTCACTGAAGAAATTTAAGAAAAAGCTGCAGGAAATGGTGGAATCCCGCTCTAGAGTTGTGTAAGTATTTTCATTGTATACTATGCAAAAGTTTAAGCACCCCTGATTAGTTCTTGTGTTTTGCTCATTTTTAACATAAAGAAACATTCTGCATGTGTTGTTACAGCATGGCTGCAAAATCAGGAAGTGCAAGTGCTAGACTGGCCTGCCTGTCTCCTATTGAAAATGTGACACACATTATAAAGTGCAAATCATGACAATGAAGGTCCCATATGGTTGCACAGCTGAAGAAAAAAAAAGAACAACATGATTAAGTGTTATTGAAAGGAAAGGTGATTAAAAATTATTTGTAAAAATATTTTTTATTATATTTACAAAAAATCAAATATTGTGCTTTTGTACTGTAAACATGTCAACCAGAATTTACTAATCACTGATTTCTGTTTTTATTGGCATTTACCATACTATTGCAGGCTTTAATCCAAGCTATTGGCTCATTTAAGCATTCTGAAACTAAATATAACTGATTCTTACAAGACTCTAAAACAAGGCTATAAGAGTCTTAGAACAACGTAGAGAGATGTTTAAAATGTTTCTTTCTTCTGGTAATATTAATGTTCAAGATGTTACTAAGTCCACCTTTTGATATTGTGACCATGTCAGAATTCCATGCAGATGTCTTTTCTTTAAAGATGTTTTGAGAGAGGAACAAAACGTAGTTTCTCCACAACACGGTACGAATTTGAACATACCACAGCAGCAGACAACAATACAGAAAAATAAAAACAATAAACATAAACAACATATGAAAACACTGTACAATAAACTTTTCTGTAGAATATATAGTACAACCACAAGACAGTTAGGACTAGCCACTGAACAAAGGGGTGGGGGGAAATTGGTCCACAGCAGCAATAAGAGTTGTGTGTATTTGTCAGTTCTCTGATAATTAACAAAAGCAATTCAGTATTGCAAGCCAAAAGATTAATAAAACTTCAGCAATATACAGTGATTGTGCAAACAAAGTCAGTGAGGTAAAGTTTTACAGTAAAGTAAACTGGCCAAGTGCAAAACATAAAGTGCAACAAATGAAAGTGAGTAGGGTGACTAAAGGTCCATCAGGTAGATCTGCTCAGCAGTCTGACTGTGTGATCTGAATGTGCAAACCTTACAACCATTGAACTTGAAAAACACAGCGAGGTGCAGGTTACACTGACAAGAGTCCTTGGGTCACAGCAGAGTCACTGGGCAATTGCCCCAGAAATGCCACAACACTGGTCTGAATGAATGAGCACAATGAACCTCAGTTGGTTTTCGTTGTCGCTTGTGAAAAGACAGAAAGAGTCTTACTGGCCTGTGGAAGCAAACTGCTGTGATGATTTGCAGACAGTGCTGGTTCACTTCTGTCCATAATTCTGAAACTATGCTTGGAGATTTCAAAATGACCTATCATTGGCCAATCAAACTTCCAGAATGAATCAATGGAACTTGAAAACAAATGTAGCTTGGTTAGGCAATTTACATGTTTAACAACACTTGTTCAAGGTTACTGAGTGAGTTCAAACAAAAATAGAGTAAACAAAGACATGACAAACTGAGACACAAAACAAAAATAACAAATCTGCAAAGTGCATCGGAGAGGGCTTCTTTTTTGGCTTTTTTATGGCCATAAAACTTCATTAGTTAACTTTCCTCAATATAGCTGGTGCCTGGGGATTGCTTGGTCCTAAGTCAAAGACTCAACTTTGTCCAAAAAAGTCTAATCAGTTTAAGGATTAAAAATAGCATCAGCAAAGGCCAACAAGAATACTTGCAAGAAATCAGTAAGAATCACTGATCTAAAAAGGGTCACTCTGGAGAAAAAGGGCAACAATAAGAAGTCTTGTGCATCTTTTATACAGTGATAAAAACATTGTCGTACATAGAAAGCTCTGGTTCTACGTTCTGATGTGTTTCACTCTGGCCCAAGTTCGCATGCACTTTCTCTAACTCTTTTTGTAGCAGATTTAAATACGTTAAAGGAACATTCACCAATTTCTAAGAATAGATCACTGGTGACATGCTCAGTTTGATTGGACCTCTACTGTTTTGTGTTCACTGATAATTATCAGTTTGAAAATGACACACAGATCTACAGTAACATTGTTGGTACTACACTGTAAATCTGTAATACTGTACTGTAAGCGATATTTTATTAATTCCTTATATAGATGCCTAGTGTACTTTGCCTCAGTGTTATGTAAACATTGTTGTCAAGTTCAGTGTAGAACAAGATATTTTTCAGCATTTGGAGCATCCTCCCAACTTTCTTCTTAAAGTAAAGTGAAATGAAAATCACAGAAATTCACAAATTACAGAGACAGACAAAATTGATGTAATCTCTTTCCATGTAGAAAGCAGTTGCCCAACCTGAATATCCAATGTCCACTGCTTCACTGAATTGTAATGAATTGAGTCATGAATTGTTTTTACATGGCATGTAGCCTCTTTAACTCCTTGGAACCACTGGTGGTTCCAAAATGCACTTTATTATATTCTTCATAACTTTCATATTTCAAAAGCTACATTCAAAAGGTGGGTGTCGTATGAGAGCTGTAACTGTCTTCTTTCTAGTCAAGTAGATGGATAATGTAATTTTAAACCCTCATTATAAAAGAAGCTGAACTCATTTTTTTTTAATGAAGGTCGACCCATTTTTCCACAAATCTGGGCTATAAACTATAAATAGATGGTGTCTCTTCAGTGATCTGCTCTGTAAAAATGATTTTTATAAAATAATACAAAGAGTTTCTAAGATTTTTGGCTTCCAGCGGTAAATTGTAAGCATATAGGAATAAAACACGTTTTCTATTCATTTGAGGGGAACTTTTAAAATAAATAAAATAAAATAAAATAAAATAAAAATTTGCATTTATTTCATGCAGTTACTGAATAATTTGCCTTACAATTTGGTCATGTAAATTCAGATGGACAAACCAAAATGTACCCTGGAGAATAAGAGGTTAAGTATTCCCTTTTGGCTTTTTTCTTGACTTTCTAAAAAAAAACACCCAAACATAAAAATGAACTCATTAATACAACAAATACAAAATATATCAAATGAAAACTCATATAATAGTAACAGTACCCAGTACCCATGTCTGTGTGTGTATGTTTGTGTGTGTGTTTGTGTGTGTGTTTGTGTGTGTGTGTGAGAGAGAGAGAGTTAGAGAGAGAGAGAGAGAGAGAGAGAGAGAGTTAGAGAGAGATTGCAGTAACCTGAGGTATCATCATTTATCTTCCAGGCTATGTGATGTTGATCTCACAGAGAAAAGCTGTGTAGTTCTGGTCTCAGCCCTCAGCTCAGAGACCTCAAAACTGAGAGAACTGGATGTGAGTTACAGTAACCTGCAGGATTCAGGAGTGAAGAAGCTCTGTGAGGGACTGAAAAATGAACGCTGTAAACTGGAGACACTGAGGTAAGATCACTCACACAACACACTCACACACTGTCTCTCTTACTCTTTCTCTCTTTCACACTCACACACATATTCTCTCCCTCACACACCCCATAGAGGCATACAGATTCTAAAAAGAGAGAATGAGTAAGACAAACACAACAACCTTATATTTCATTCACACACATCCCTGATTTTTTTTCCATATACAAAAAACAGATCTAGATAGCCAAATATTGTAATAATTTGTCAATAATTTAATAATCTCCAGAAATGTAATGCAATTTTTAACTCTTGTGTGCAAATCCAAGTTTAAGATCCTTTTAAATAGATGTGTACTACTATAACAAGTTATCTTAAGTTATACAAACAGCACAATGATCATTCTGGGCTTAAATTGAAGTAGATGCTTGGGCTAAGACATTAATTCACCTTTCGGCTTTTGTTTCCACCATTTAGGTTCCATTGGAGAACAGCAAATACAGAGGAAAATGTAAAAATAAAACAGCTGTTATTTTGGGGGTTTGAGTGTGTATGGATGCTGGGAAATAAACATCAGTCATGCTCTATGTTTCTTTATAAGGTCTTGTAAAAACAAACCCTTTAGAGAGAGACAGACAGAGATAGCAGAGAGTCGAGTAAATGTATTTTTGCAGATGCATTTTTAAGAAAGTGAAAGTTTAGCTGCTGTAATTTTACAGTTTTTCTGCAGTCAGACTGAACAGGGATCTGAATATTACAGCACAATACTGTTTAAAGTCTGTTGGAGTGATCTGATCTTGGTCTGATCAGATCACTGTGTAGTCCATTAAGACAAGAAGTGAAACAAGAAGTGAAAAACAAATCTGACCATGATGGAATCACTGTGCAGAGTTTAGGGTGTATCTGTATTAAAATAGATTTCACCCATCACAGCTTTATTCAGCCGTTTACCTCTAATCCTGTTTCAGAACCATATTTTATACAGTTAAAACCTAGGTTCAACAGAATTTAAAATAAAAGTGTGTCCACTGACATAGTTTTGGACTTAAGTGATCAATTTACAGATGTTGTCAACTCAGAAATACAGTCCTACCTTTTTAGTATGTTATCACTGATAACATACTAAAGAGGATACCACTGTTATCCCTCTGGTTGTGTTTCAGTCAAATTTGACCAATTTACTTTTTCTATGATTATGTTTCTTTCATCTGTTGCCACACAACTTAATGACATTGTTCAGACCAGCATAGTTGTTGTGCTTCCAGTCAGATAAGAAGCAGAATTTAATATTCAGTCACCTAAATACACACTTACAGAGATACAGTTGTGTATGGATGTGTGACACATCATCATCTATCTTTTGCTATGAACAGAATTCAGAGCCAAAGGTACAAGTAGTCTTACAAGTGGAGGTGTATACCATACCTTTGAGATCTGATCTTGGCTGGTTTGGAAAATGTAATATATGTAAGACATTGTAATAAATATGTATTACAATATGTAGAAGTATGTATTATGTTGCATTTCTTGATGAGGTTGATTGGTATACATTCAAAGGTTAAAATATGCCTTAAATCATCATCTTGCTGTACTATAATAAGGAGTAGATTGTCTATGTTCAAAACAATCAATGTATTTATAGGGAAATTAAAAAGAGAAAAACTAAAAAATATTTAAATATAATTATTATCGTTTTTACTGAAGATACTCAACAAAAGCCTTATTGGTTGGAACAACTATTAGCTACCTACTTTGGCGAGCTCACTTTGTCTCATGTCTTCAGTTCCATCAGTAAAGTAAGAGGTTTTGTGCTGCTCTCTCTCCCTCAGTGACTGCTTCTGGAACCAACAGTGTGCATTTTACAAGTTAGCTGCTCTGCTGAGGCTGAACTTCATATGGTTATGATCACAGAAATGTTGTCTGTTAATAAAAATAAAAAAAAAACTTTCTGTATTCAAATCCTGTGCTTCTTCATGCTTGTTACAAATGACTGCAAATGTAACTAATCACCATAGACCTACATATAGATGTACATACACACATGCTGCGTTGCCAGTTGTTCTCAGTCATGGTGATATGTCCATGCGTCTACCAGGTTGGAGCAGTCAAGATCCGCTTGTAATCTAATACAGGAGAATTGAGAAATGTTCTCATAATTAAATTGCCCATAATTTTCCACCAAATTTTGTTTTATTATAATCATCTGACTTTCCACACATTGATGACTATTGAAAAGTATGATTTACATGGTGCTATTTGTAATGCACCTCAGTTTCCAACAGATGGCTACATAAGACCTGTCAAAATTGAAATAAGGAAGCTGATGCAGTGCCTGAAAAATCCTGCTCTAACTCAGTCGTCTGGTCATAACAATTTGGCTCTTGTCAAAGTCTCTCAGGTCTTCATGGCTGGACATGTCTCCCACATCCAACACATTGACTACAAGAACCAACCATTCACTTACTGTCTAAAAGATCCCAGACTTTCACATGCATCTATGTTACAAGATAATCAGTGTTGTTCATTTCATCTGTGAGTGCTCATACTGCTTTTGCTTATCAGTGCACAAACAGTATAAAAAACTGTGACAATCAACAAGTGTGCAGTGCAGTCAGTGCTGGACACTGATGATAGAGGAAGGTGAGCAACCTCGAAGACAGAGTTCTTTAAATATTTATTTTCTATCTTTTGTGTAAAACATTTAACTCATTTCAGATTCTATCCATTATTTTAAATTTAGTTTCAGAGAGATGTATTGCTAAATGACAAATACATTAATAGGTTTTCATATGTGTCCCTTTTCCATATGCATGAGCTTTAATGAATTTAATCAATAAATATAAATAAATATATAAAATACTTTCCAGTGTGCCTAATCATCCTTAAATATGTAAAATGTATTAAAAATATGTGTTTTAGATAGTCTTTAACAATGAAAATTGTAGATTATTATAAGATGTTTATGTGAATCTAAAGGTGATTATCATATAAGTTTAACTTTTTCTTTAATATTGGATCTGCTTAGGCTGCCTCATGCTTATAGGCTAGGTCGAATTGCTGCATATTTATCCTATGAAGTGTGATGTGCTTTGTCAGTCTGCATCTTCTATCAGCCAGTTTCTTTTGGTTTAAAAGCGAGTGCTTGTTTGAAAGGGATGTGCTTAGATGCAGATAAATGCACATGTTGGGAAAATTTTACAAAAGAAAAATCTGGCAAGCTAGAGGTGTGATCTGCACATGGAAAATTTCAGTAATATAAATGAACTGCCCAGAAAAACAAGTAATGCGACCATGTAGTGGCAGTGTCAATACTGATAAATGTTGAACAGAAATGGATGAAAATACTTTATGACTATAGGAAATTAAAATATTATGGAAGCTTCCTCAGACAAAAAATAAATAAATAAATAAAATAAAAAGCATTCAGTCATGTGTTATTATTATGTACAGCTTTAGCTGTTTGTGTCTTATGGGCTTAAGATGGACTAGTTCATCTGTTTCAAAGTAGAAAAACAACAACATGCACCATGTTTATTATGTTTATATACACTTTTCAGTTAATTAGGTTAATTGAAAATATGAAAATATGCCTCTTCCTAGTAGATAGGAAGTATAAATGACAAATAAAGACATGATAAATCATCTGTTCCAAAGTCTAGATTGATTGCTGAGTTTCTAATGGTTCTGTTTTTATTGAATGAGTCTGTCAAAATTCACATTCCTGAGAATAAGTTTAACTAGATATAATTGTTACTTTTTTTAAAATAAGTTCCTTTTTGTTCATTCATGTGTATGTGTGTTATGGTGTTTAATCTGGGTGTTACCCATTACTTCATTGAGTATTCTGTCAGTGTGATGTTTAATCTGTTTTACTTGTTATTTCATTGTGTATTGTACATGTTAAGTTGTGTTTGTGAGGAGTTTTTCTTCTTCGCTCTGCAGACTGTTTAACTGCAGTATTACAGGAGAAATCTGTGCTGCTCTGGTTAAGGCTCTGAAATCAAACACCTCATCACAGCTAAGAGAGCTGAGTTTGACCACTAATAAACCAGGAGAGACAGGAGTGATGGAGCTCTCTGATCTACTGAAGGATCCGAACTGTAAATTGGAGACACTGCAGTGAGTTACTTGTTTACTATCACTAGACACACATACACACACACACACACACACATTACAGTGACTCTACAGTTAATCACTTACTGTCTCTACATACACATGAGAAGTGGGAAAAGTAAGTCTTCACACTCAAGTTGAGTCCTCAGTCAGTGCAGGCAAGAGTAAAGTCACCTTGCAAATTTATTGTCATTTAAACATGGGACAACAAAAATGAATATTTAATGAAAGCATGATAGAGTGGTACAAACTCATTTCCCTTTTGTGAGAACAGTGTGTGAAATGTTAATAAAAACAGAAAGCAGTAATTTCTAAATACACTTTGGCCTGTATTTGAACAAAAACAGTACAAAATAATTCATGTTTTATCTTATCAGCTTCTTTGCTTTTTGTAAATATGCATGTGTTCTAAAATTGAAGCCTGTAACTCTTTCCAAAACAATCAAAGGCAAATTAAGACTAAGAACACTGTGTAATGTTCAGAATACATTTTAAAAGATGATGCTGGGGTATAAAATATGTTTTAGGCTAATGCTTTTCCACAGAACTGTCATAAAATAATGTCATAGGCATCAGGTAGCATATTAATAACCATTTCAAGCTAACTTTTTAAGGTCCATGTTTATTTTAACAGGATAATGCCAAGAAACAAATTTTGGATGAGCATATATTTAGAAAAAATGTGTTTATGGTGTGTGATGTGTGTTCATAATGTAAGAAGAGTCTCTAAAATCTTTTGACTGCAGAGTGTTTACTGACTGTGGTGGAATAAAGTTAGAAATATAAGGCCAGGGTTGGGATAGCTACTGAAAAATTAGTAGTTAGCTACTTTATAACTACTTTCCCAAAATTTATAACTAGCTACAATTAGCTACTTTTGCAGAAGAAGTAGTGCCTACTTTTTAGCTACTTTTTGTGTACTCAGGCACCATTTAAGGTGGAATGGGACAATTCGAACAAGAAGCTGGTGAATGAGAAGTGACTTCAGCCTCATAAAAAGTCGAACATTGAGGGACATTTTACTCAAAAAAAGTTTCCTGAGATTTGAGAAAAGTGGCTACAGCTGAGCTAAAGGTTAAAGCAGAGCAAATTAAGTTTGTGTTTTCATTTATTTAATTTTTAGCCTGAACTAGTACATCAGCACACACTGAGACATATTTACAGCCAAGATGGTAAAGTAGATATAAAATATTTCATTTTTGTTGAAAGGAAAAATGGCTCTTCTTAACATTTTGGTTGCGACCCCTGAGCTAAACCTGCTAGTAAGGGGTGATCAGCACATGACCATTTACTTGAACTGTCTGTGGCTCAGTCAGGATTGCACAATTGCCACCAGCCCAGTTACTGATCGCGTTCTGTGGTTCAGATTTTGCACAGATTGACAGAAGCCTGTCGCAAAATTATAGCGAAAATTATCGCTATAGCTACACAAAATTTTTTAGGCGCTACAGTTACTAGCTACATTTCATAAAACTGTAGTGGCTACAGCTATTAACCACAAAAATGTGCAGTTAACTACAAGAAGTAGCACGCTACTTAGCTACTTCTCCATCCCTGTATAAGGCTCATACAGTGTATATATAGTGTGGAAAAGTTTTAGTCCCCTGAGCTCTTGTCTATGGAAAAAAGTTCCAGTGTGAACAAACATTGTACAAAAATTGTAAGTTGGATTGATTCTAAAAACACAAGCACACTATTTAGGTATAAGTTCTATATTGGTGCTGAGTTTGGTGGCTGTACCTCAAGAACTGTAGGAGGAGTAGTGTCGGCATGTTTTAAATAGAATAATTATAATAAGTAGAAAGAAAAAGTTTGTGAACAAACTTTAACCCTCCTGTTGTGTTCCGGTCAAATCTGACAGATTTAGAAGTGTCCTCTTTAAAAAGTGTAGTAAATTGCATCTGTTTGTCATGAGGTTCCATGACTTTGTTCACACATGGTATTTGAACGCCTAAAACAAATCTGAAATATTTTATAAAAAATTGTGTGTTTTATGGAACTTGTACACACCCATGGTGTTCCCAGTCAAAAATTACTGGTTATTGGAAATGAATCTATAAGACTACAATTATTGTATAAAACAGAGTTCAAGCACATATCAAGCACATCCACAGCAACCAGAGAAGGAGGAGTCCAAAGAAAGAGGTGCCAACTGTGCACCAAGAGATAAAACACGAGCTTTGTGTGCCACAGATGCGGTGTGTGTATATATGCAAAGAGCATGCAATGACCACAGTATACTGCCCCACATGCTCATGAGAGGACAAAACTGAGGAACATAAAGATAACATTATAGCACTGTCTTTTCACAGTACAATAGAAAATTGTAAATATGTTCATACAGTGTACAGTTCAAGCATTTCTCTCAAATTTTCCCTGTGTACATTTGGGCTTTTGTTTTCAATAAATAAATCATACCGGTCAGTTTTGACCGGGATCACAAAAGTTGTTATTTTGTGCCACAGTTTAGAAAACTTAACTGGTTTCAAAAAAGTGACTTTGGTAAACATTTCAGTGAAGTACTCTGTGACAAACACTACAATAGGTTTCATCTTAGTATTCATTATAGTGAAAATAATATGTATATAATGTTTTTTCCCTAAAACAACGAGCGGTATGAGCTCAGGTAAATGAAGCCTGCAGGGCATAAACAGCAAATACAAGATCAAAACTTATAATGTTCGCAAGAGCTGAAGTTCATAAAAAGATCTAACACAACATTAGGTGATAATATATGTATTATTGTTGATTTATAATGGAATAAAAGATCCCAGTCATGAGTGTTAGCTGAAACAAACACAACAGGAGGGTTAAGAAGATTCAGAAGCCAGCAAAGGTGTTGTTAGGCGGTTGCTGTGGTGTCCTGGGCATTCCCAGCCAGCTTAATAATAATAAGACTTAATAGGAATGGCAAATATTAAATAAAATAGGCCAAAATTCAAAAATAAGTTTGCACACTTTGGGTAAGAGTGATAATTTAGTTTTTGCAGATAAAAATGTTATTTATGAGTGAAACAAACATGTTTGCTGAATAAATAATGTAAAGGCACAGAGAATAATGTAGCCTTCAAGTGTTGTAACACCAAGGCTAGTTGTTACATAAGTGTTTAATTTCAGATTTCCACACAACTAAATCAAATTGCATCATTCAAACTAGTTTTTACATTGAGGTTAATAGTTATGAAATATTTACACCTCCCCCTAAACAGTGTGGGAGAAACCAACAGAAACCGCATAGAGGGCACAAAGAAGACAAACATGTGACTTTTTAGTGAACTAACCTAAAGACACTAAATACAATAAGCTATAATTTTATATACAGCTCTAAATATTTCCCTGGTGTTTAATTCCTACAGCTCCAGCTCAGTGAGACAGTTCAGAGAGATTCAGCAGCTGCACAAACATGGCATAACTTTTACACAGGCCACATTTTGTTTTTTATTATTATTACTTCTGAATTATTCTTTTCTTTAATACATTTTGAAAATGATAATTTCAGTAAATAAACAGTAATTGTGCATTAAAATGTGAAAATGTGTTTTCTCTGTAGAGGATGTGTTCACCTATTTTCCCTTAGAAAATCAACAAAAACATTCATAGTAACTGGGGTGCCAAAACTTTTGCATCAGAGTGTAAATTATAAACAGTGTAAATCAGAAAATGAGCAGGTGTTTCTGTTGTTGTGGTTTATTATTTTGGTAATTGAGCTGCAGGTTTTTATTGTTGTTTTTCCTCATGTTCCAGTTTTGTGAGTTAATAATTGTGAAAGTGTGTTTTGCTTCTACAGTGTTTTAGAATAAATTACCTGAACTTGGAAACCACAGAAACTCTAACATTGTAAGCTTTGCAGATGAAGCCAGATGTGTGCAGTCAAGACTAGTTTGGTAGGTTTTATTTACAAAGGGGTGATCCAAAACCTATGTCAAATACCAGTGAGTCATAACAAGGCAAAGGGGCAAGGCAAAAAATCAAAGACAAAAAACGAAGCACAGGTCAAACACAAAAAAGCAATAACAAACAAGAGAAAAGGCTCAGTATGCACAACAAACAGTGACAATACTTTGCAAAGATTCTATGCTAAAATCCAGGCTTATATACTGAGCTAACAAATGATCAGAATTCAGATGAGGCAGAATAGGGATAGGAGTCCTGAGTCATGTGAGGGAGTGAGGGGTTCTGGGAATTGCAGTCTGAAGTGGCAAGGTTGGCTGTAGTTCCAGCCAAGCCAGAGACAGATGTGACAAATATTAATAACAAAATCTCACATTATCAAATTTAATACAGACAACAGCACTATTTGTTCAATAACACCTTTTTTGTTTTTGTGTGTTTTTGTGTGTGTGTGTTAATTGTTGTGTTTGTGTGATTGTGTGTTTTTGTGTGTGTATGTGTTTGTGTGTGTGTGTGCATGTTTTTGTGTGTGTGTGTGTTAACTGTGAGGAGTTTTCTTTCTGCAGGCTGGATTTCTGCAGTATTAGAGGTGATGCCTGTTCTGATCTGTTTAATGCTCTGAAATCAAACCCCTCATCTCACCTGAGAGAGTTGAACCTGAGCGGCAATAAACCAGGAGATTCAGGAGTGAAGGAGCTCTCTGAACTACTTAAGGATCAACACTGTAAACTAGAAAAACTACAGTGAGTGTGTGTGTGTTTTGGTGTTTAATCTGTTTTTTATTCATTATTTCTTCATTGTGTATTGTGTGTGTTTTGTTGTGATATTTTTTTCTTCTTCTCAGGCTGGCTGACTGCAAAATTACAGGTGAACACTGTGCTGATCTGATGAAAGCTCTGAAATCAAACCATTTATCTCACCTTAGAGAGCTGAACCTGAACACCAATGAACTAGGAGATTCAGGAGTGAACAAACTCTCTGATCTACTGAAGGATCCACATTGTAAAGTGGAGAAACTACAGTGAGTTACTGACTTGCTGTCTCTACACACACACACACACCAAAGAAATACTTTAATGTGCAATTTGAATCTTTTACTCTTACATCACACACACCACATTAGAGCTGTCTCCTGTGTTCTCTAGCAACTAAAAGTAGTACTGCAATTTTGTAGGTAACACACATGGCATGAGGATGAACACCATCAACATTCACAGTGGTCCTGTGGACAATTCAAATCAGTTAATTTCAAATGTACAGTATTTGTACAGTGCTTTTTATAACAGACATCATCACAAAGCAGCCCTCTAATGAACATCAATGAGGGAGACAGAAGCTAGATTTCTATTCATATTTTTATGTGTAATATGACATATTGAATAAAAAAGACTTAATACAAACACAAAATATTGAATAAAACAGTCCAAATTTAATGATATTTTTGAGGATAAAAAATTTTATTATGATGGAAACTCAATTGCTGAAAAAATAATGTAAAGTCACATGGAATAATGTAGATGAAGTGTTTCTGGTTTAGTGTTGGGCATAGCTACATGTTCCACCAGATATACATTAATTCAAATGTAAGCTAGTTGGAACATATGTCATTTCATATTTTCCCATTACTAAATCAAAATAGGTTGCACTATTCAAACCAGTTTTTACTTTGTGGTAAGTTGTTAGTAAATATTTACACTGTCCCTAAACTAGTGTTAATGTTAGAGAAACCAACAAAAACCACATTGAAAGCACAAAGTAGACCAAAAAAATATATTTTTTTTCAAGTGAACTAAGCTAAAAACACTAAACACTGTATCTATATATATAGAATTTTACCTACAGTTGCAAACATCATCCTGGTTTTAACATGAAGCTAACAGAAACAGTTCCAATACAGTGAGGCTCAGCAGCTGCACAAATGTCTAAAACATATTTTGCACAGGCCACATTGTGTATTGTGTGTGTGATGAGCTGTAAGTGTAAGGAGTTTTTCCTCTTCTCTCTGCAGGCTGGCTAACTGCAAGATTACAGATAAAGGCTGTGCCGATCTGGTTAAGTCTCTGAAATCAAACCCCTCATCACACCTGAAAGAGCTGAACCTGAACAACAATAATCCAGGATATTCAGGAGTGATGGAGCTCTCTGAACTGCTGGAGGATCCACACTGTAAACTGGAGACACTACAGTGAGTTTCTAACTTATTGCCTTTACACACACACACACACACACAGACACACACACACACACAAAACTGGGCAATGGGAATTCTGCTTATGTAAAATGTGTGTTCTTAAAATCATTTATTATTCTCATTCAACAATGTTGGGCTTGATGCTACCAGAGAAGCAAATGTTGGATAAAAAAGGTGGATACATTTTGTGGATAAAAACAAAATACATTTAGTTACGATAAAAACACATTTGCTGTAAATGCAAACAGAATATTGTTGCATATCATGTGTTAGAGTTTTGGTCTCCAAACATTGCAAAGAAACATGACATGGTTGCTGATACTGATAGATGTGGACAGCACCACTGTTCACCTCATTCATTTGTGTGTGTTTGTGTTTGTTATGGTGTTTAAATTGTGCTTTGATTATTACTTTATTGTGCATCTTGTGTGTGTGAAGCTGTAAGTGTGAGGGTTTTTTCTTCCTTTCTCTGCAGACTGTATAACTGTCAAATTACAGGTGAAGGCTGTGTTGATCTGATTAAAGCTCTGAAATCAAACCCCTCATCTCAGCTGCGAGAGCTGAATCTGAGCTACAATGACCTACGAGATTCAGGAGTGGAGAACCTCTCTGATCTACTAGAGGATCCACACTGTAAACTGGAGACAATACAGTGAGTTACTGTCTCTACACACACACACACACACACACACACACAGACACAGTTGGAGTCTTTCTTTCTTATAACTTACACACACAACACATTAGATCTGTCTCTCTAGAGCTGTGTTATTGAGATTTCTATTACACTTCCACATTTCTTAATTCACAGATTTGTAATATATCGAATGAGTCTTCCTTTCGTGAGAAACATTCAAAGAAAAAACAGTACAAAAATGCCAAAACACCTTATCAGATGAATCTGAACATTTCCTCCAAAAACAGTTTTATGATGCTAACATTATACAGAAAAACAGAATTAATACAATGGAAAAAGAAAAGGAAAGTCTGAAAGTATTTTAGGGTAAGAAAACAGCTGCTGTGAGACATCTGAGTCTCTCTTCTCTCCACACTCACTGTGTTCACTTCTTATCCAGTGAAGAACAGAAACAGCTCACACAGTCTCAGCCTGCATCAGCCTCATGGAGTTTGGGCATCAGTATGGATGCTAGACATGTGACGGTATTCTGTATATTTTGTATGCTGTGGTAGTAAACTTGTATGGTAATGTTGTCATTATTGCTTTAAAATAACATCACAGCAGTTTAGTCAGACAAGCTAAGCACAAGAAATACAATGAAGTAAATTGTAGTAAACACACTCTATATAAAAACACAGTTTGTTAAACCAGTTCTGTAGGCTACTAACAGGTTAAAATGCTAATCCAGTAATATTCAGAATTTGGTTTTAAATCTAAATGTTTATTGAAAAAGTCACGTTAAACTAAATCATACAAAGTAAAAAAAATTAATTGAATGTCTATTGTAATACAACATAGTACAAGTAAGAAAATAAATAAACAGTAATTGGGCATTAAAATGTGCAGAGGTGTGTTCTCTGTAGAAGATGTGTTAACTTATTTAGAAATAGAAAATCAACAACAACATGGAACTTGACCAGAGGAGCCAAAACATTTGCATATGTGTGTAAATTCTGAACAAAGTAAATCAGAAAATGTGCTTGTGTTTCTGCTGTTGTGGTTTATTAATTTCTTAAATAAACTACAGGTTTTCACTGTTATTGTTCTTCATGTTCAGTTTTAGTGTGTTAATAAACCATGTGTTTTACTACAGTGTCTCAAAATAAATGACGTGAAAAACAGTAAAAACACAATATTTACTCTAATATTATTATCAAAAATCTCACTGTGTAAAATACCTGATATGAAGAACACAGTTTCTTCAACAGCACCTTTCTGTTTGTTTGTGTGTATGTGGTTGTGTTTATGTGTAGTGTTTAAACTCTTTTATTTTGGGGTGGAAAGAGTACTTAAACTCTCTGCTTAAGAATAAATAAGTATTGGAAAACTAATTGAGTAATCAAGTTATTTTTTATATATATCCGTGATCACAACTGAAATTAGGGTGTAAATATTATAGAGAGAGCCTAAGTTGATTCAGCTACATCATTTAAAACAATCTGAATTTTTCTTCTTCTCTCTGCAGGTTGGAAGGCTGTAGTATTACAGGTGAAGGCTGGGCTGCTCTGGTTAAAGCTCTGAAATCAAACCCTTCATCTCACCTGATAGAACTGAGTCTGAATGGCAGTGAGGCAGGAGATCTGGGTGTGAAGAAGCTCTCTGATCTACTGAAGGATCCACACTGTAAACTGGAGAAACTACAGTGAGTTACTGTGGGTAGTCGGTAGAGTAGGGAGAACTTGCAGTGAGCCAGTAGTTTTTTGGACCAGTAACTGTGAGATAATGTATAATTCACTCATATAAGCACATGAACACTCAGAAAAACTAAATGTTTCATACAAGTGTATATCTGTAGTAGTTTAAGGGTTACTCCAGCATCATTCTCCACAGAACCATGTGGAGCCAATCTGATGCGTCATCAATGTGCAGGAGCAAAAACTGCCAACTCCCATCCTTTTTCTTTGGACCATTGATGCCTCATTGACAGGCTATTCGAAGACCTGATAACCCCTGTCACTTACATTTCTTTCATTTTCTGTTCAGCAGCCTCTCTCTTTGCTAATGGGAGCCACTGAGGGCAGAGCCAAATTGGTGCAGCATCGCTGGTGCTATGGCTGTGCTGCACAAAATCAGTTGGCATGCATTCCTCTTCCATAGCTGCGAATATGTCATTATAACAGCTTAAAATAGAGAATGTCTAAACCAAGTATACAGTATAGATATACAGTATGGGTATATATTATGGATGCGAGCGGGAATTGGTACACTCAGTTCAAACCTTCCAGCACAATCGGGAGCCAGTTTCTCCCTCTCATGTTGACTTGGCTGTCTTTAATGGAGCCAGTTTGGCCGGTGGTAGCCTCCTGGCCATCCAGCATACCTCTTGCAGTGTGAGGAAGCACACCCAGCTGCAGCAGAGAGATTTTTGAACCCATATTGATGAGAGCTGTGAACTATTTGCTAATAATGCTGCTCTCTATCCGAAGCCCACTGAGGTTGCTCTCTCCAGCAGTGGCAGCTATGTTGAGGGATACTATGTGGCTCAGGCTGGCAGTATTGGCAAGGACAGTGTCCCTTTCTTCCACACTGTCAACACACTATCCATGCTGCTACCACTCGCTCAGGGCTGTTTCACATGCCATCCCACTCTCAGACTCCTGTGCTGAGCAGGATTGAATTTCTTGCTTCAAGGCCCTGTTGTTGAGGATGAGCCCTACATTTTCTGCTTCCACAATGGTGGCTTGGAGGATCCTTGGTTTAGCAAACTGCACATGCCACAGCACAGCGCTCAGGAGTATTTCCTGTACACACCTACTCCTCCTCTCTCAAATGTGGGATAAGATGGTCAGACAGTAAGGCTTATCTTTGCTGCCAATATGTTTATCCACTCTTTTCTTTCTCAGTCTATCTGGAAGCAGCTTCCCAACAGACAGCACTGCTGGCATCCATCCAAACCACTGCTGAAGAGCCTTGGTCAGTGCTTTGAGGTCACCATGCTGCTCCACCTGCAAGGCCACAAGCACCTGGAGTGCTTTTCCCATCTGGGCCAAGCCCAGCTAGATTGTAATTTCTGCCTCTGTCCAGCCACAGAGCTGAGCAACCCACTCTCCAGTAAAGCAAGGTTGTCAAACATGCACTGGCTCTTCTCTGCCGCACCCCAGCTGGATGCCACTGGTGCTTCTGCCACAATGTTTTTTGGCGGTTTCACTTTCACCAGCCTGCCCGTCACTTCTTTGATCCTCTCCGCTGTTGGCTTCCCTATCCACCATGGAACTGTTCGATCTGCCACTCAAGCTCTTGTATTTCCATGACAAAATGGCACATCTGAGCAACAATGTGACAATCGTCAGACAGAATCAGCCAAAGCCATGTTCTTTGCTCCAAAATCTTGTCTTTTTATTGAGCACCAGTCTAAATCAAACATGAATAAACTACAGTCCTGGGGAGAGGTCATCACTAATTAAGAGATTCATGCTATCAGTGACCCCTCCCCCTCAGACACAAAACACCCAACATCCCACATCCCAGATACAGTATGACCTGCACATACCCATAACAAAACTAATTAAAAATAAACAATATAATAATCTTTTCATTGCTCATGTACATCCCCATGAGCCCCTTAACACTAACTCAGAGCAGGCTAATTAGAGCTACATGGCTAATATCTGCACCATGCCATGTCTGTGCACAGGCTTATAGGTATACAGCTGATCCAATACAATATAGGGATGTAATGATTTTGTGCAGTTTAGAGAAATTTGGGTGCAGCCCCCTAATGAACATCACTAAGTGAGACAGAAGTTAGTATTCTCATATTTTTACATATATTTGGACATATTGAATAAAAAAGTAGGAATAGCAAATATTGAATGTGGATAGTTTTTGTGGATAAAAAGAAATGCATTTCATCATGATAAAAACACATTTGCTAAATAAATAATGTAAATGCAAAAACAATAATGTGGCTCATGTTAGCTGAGAAACTTGACAAAGCAGCCAGTTCCAGTAGATATGGACAACTGTACTGTTCACTTTTGTTTCTGTTCATTTGTGTGCATGTGTGTAGGTGTGTAAAGCTGTAAGTGTAAGGAGTTTTTCTTTTTCTCTCTGCAGGCTGCAGTACTGCAGTATTACAGGTGAAGACTGTGCTGATCTGGTGAAAGCTCTGAAATCAAACCCCTCACACCTGAGAGAGCTGAACCTGAAAAACAATAAACTAGGAGATTCAGGAGTGAAGGAGTTCTCTGAACTACTGAAGGATCCATACTGTAAACTGGAGAAACTACAGTGAGTTACTGATTTACTGACTTTATTGATAGTATTGCGATGATGTCACTGTTGCATTGCCACCATTTTGGTAGGCAACACCAAGTTCATTCAGCAGTGCTGTGGCAGTTTGTAAGGTGTTAAAGCCATAACTAATCCAACAAAGGCAGTGATTGTGATTTTGCATGTCTTTCATTTGGTTCAGTTGGTTTCACACTGTAATGGCTGTTGCATATACGCAGGATCTCTTTCACTCACATTTGCCACAGTTAAAACAATAGAAAACAGATATGCTTATCGTCTGTGTATTACAGTCAAAACTTACTTGAAATCTGCTTTATTATAATCGGTTTGCCAATTTGAATTTAATCAATTAGGATGCTGGTACCTGGTGGCCAAAAATACAATCAGCAATCCTTGCAAAGCATATCTGCACCATTATTTGTGTTATGTGTGGCCTCCAAGCTGAAATGGAGATTTTGACTTTCTCTATGTTTGCATCTATAGGTCAGCACTCTGTGCACTTAATCAAAAAGTGGTGGGTCAAATGCCTGATCACCCCCATGGTTCTGGCAGACCTGCATTTGCAGAATGAATATTGTAAATGCACATAGCATAATGTGGCTTGACTGTTTATGTTTTAGTGTTTAGCCATAGCAACAAAACGAGACCAGACAGCATGTACCAGTAGATTGATGAAGAAAATAAAACCTCACTGATCAAAGAAAATCATAATGGTAATATTAGATGGTAAACACACAGAGGCTGCGACAGATAAATAATGGATATTTCCTGAGCTGCTACTTTATCCTGTGTTCAGCCTCTGCACTATCACAATGTAAAATACAGCCATTAAATTAGACAAAACACCAACAATAAGCTGCTTAATATTAAAAGATTTTTCTGTAAGATGATTCTGTCTTACTCAGAAGGGCTTTTATGAATGTGACATACAAAGTTTTATGTGTGTGTTAGTGTGTGTGTGTGAACGTGTGTGTGAGAGAGAAAAGTATAAAGATTATTGTGTGTAGTAAGTCACTTCATTGTGTTATGGTGTTTTTTTCTTCTCTCTGTAGACTGTCTGAATGCAGGATTACAGATAAAGGCTGTGCTGATCTGTTTAAAACTCTGAAATCAAATCCCTCATCACATTTGAGAGAGCTGAATTTGAGCGGCAATAAAACAGGATATTCAGCAATAAGGGAGCTCTCTAAAGATCTACTGAAGAATCCACGCTGTAAACTGGAGAAACTAGAGTAAGTTACTGACTTACTGTCTCCACACACACACACACTCACACACACACACACACACACACACACATGCACACACACACACACACACACACACACACACACACACACACACACACATGCACACACACATGCACACACACACACACACACACACACATACAAACAAAAGAAATACAGTGCTGTGCAGCTGAAGCTAAACAGCTATGTTGTTCTTTTATCAGTGCTAACTACAATTCCAAGGCTAAGGCAATATGTTAAATGCTAACAAAAACAGAAAGCAGTAATTAGTTTCTGTTTGATCTGCTTTAAATTGAAAACAGTACAAAAACACTTATTGAGCTTATCAAGACACACTTTCAGTCAGAGACTGAAGTCTGAGAGTTCTGGACTACAGGCAGACCAGTCTACACCCACACTCTCTGATTATGCAGCCATGCTGTAGTAACACCTACAAATGTTTGTTGGTGTGGTCATGTTCAAATAAATATGGACATCGCTAAAAATAGAGCATCTAAAAGGCAGCATATCTTGTTCCAAAACGTGGTTCAGAGAACAATGTCCAATTTTTCCATAAACAATCTGAAAGGTTGACTCGTGAGACCATGATACATGTTCCCACTGAGCATCAGTCCATTTCAGATGAGCTCAAGACCAGAGAAATCAGCATTTCTGGACATCGTTGACATATGACCTCCTCTGTGTATAGCACAGACTTATATATTATGCACTTTAGAGGGTGAAATACCTACATTTCTTGGAAACACTTTGGAAGGAACATTATTTTTAAGCTGATGGATATTTTTTGATTTAAGATTTAAAGCTACTAAGTTTAACTATTAGTTCTAGCAAACGGACCACATCTGAAGGCAGATCAGAACTTGTAGCAGCTCTTTAGCTGACTGTGTTGGTCTTGTTGAGGTACTTCAGTGTGAAGCCAAAGAAAGATCCTGTTTCTGCTCTGGCTGTAACTATGTTTTTCTAGAACTGCAGTCTGAGTGAGATGAGGAGTTTATACAGTGTTAATAGAGTTGAATTAAAATTAGAGAGTGTTTAAAGAAGGAGCTCTGAGTTGATGGTGTGACAGTGATGAGAGTTCATGTCTGATCATTCTGTTCTGTTTCTGATCTCAGTCTGAGTGAGATGAGGAATTTATACAGTGTTAATAGAGTTGAATTAAAGTTAGAGAGTGTTTAAAGAAGGAGCTCTGAGTTGATGGTGTGACAGTGATGAGAGTTCATGTCTGATCATTCTGTTCTGTGTCTGATCTCAGTCTGAGTGAGATGAGGAGTTTATACAGTGTTAATAGAGTTGAATTAAAGTTAGAGAGTGTTTAAAGAAGGAGCTCTGAGTTGATGGTGTGACGGTGATGAGAGTTCATGTCTGATCATTCTGTTCTGTTTCTGATCTCAGTCTGAGTGAGATGAGGAGTTTATACAGTGTTAATAGAGTTGAATTAAAGTTAGAGAGTGTTTAAAGAAGGAGCTCTGAGTTGATGGTGTGACAGTGATGAGAGTTCATGTCTGATCATTCTATTCTGTGTCTGATCTCAGTCTGAGTGAGATGAGGAGTTTATACAGTGTTAACAGAGTTTATTTAAAGTTACAGTGTTTAAAGAAGGAGCTCTGAGTTGATGGTGTGACAGTGATGAGAGTTCATGTCTGATCATTCTGTTCTGTTTCTGATCTCAGTCTGAGTGAGATGAGAAGTTTATACAGTGTTAACAGAGTTGAATTAAAGTTAGAGAGTGTTTGAATAAGGAGCTCTGAGTTGATGGTGTGACAGTGATGAGAGTTCATGTCTGATCATTCTGTTCTGTTTCTGTCTTACAGATTCTGAACACACAGATGCCGCACCTGAAGAGATTCTCTGAGATCTGAGAACACTTTGTGTATGATGGTCATCTGTGTGTTTGTGTATTTATAGCTTAAATGTATGAACAGATGCAGTGCAGGTCTGTCTGCTTACCCTGCTCAGCCAATTCTTGTACACGAGTGACTGTGCCTTCAGCGACCTGTCAATCAAACCCCTCATGTTAGAGCACAACCCACATTGAGAGAGAGAGAGAGAGAGAGAGAGAGAGAGAGAGAGAGATAGAGAGAGAGAGTGCAGACTGCTCATACTGCATTTACATAAACTACTCTGCTGTGTGTTTCTGCTGTAGTTTGTAGTGCTATAAACTACAGATTGGGCAATATGTCAAAAACTATCAATGCACAACACTAGATATTTTCATGATACACAATATGATTTACAGTCTTTTGACACAGACACAGTGCTCTAGTAGAGCCACATTTAAAAGCTGTCATCAAAAGCTCAGGATACAATAAATTATATTCAACATTTCCCACAGTGCACTGCTCTAAATCCAGTTAAACAGGACTGATTTTGCTCTTCTTATGATGAAACATGCAGTTGGTCAATTTTCTTTAATTGCAGACAAAGTCCATGGCATACTCAGAGAAGCATATTGTGCATCACGATAACAAACCGATTCATGATAAAAATCATTGTATTGCCCACGTCTAATATATAGTATGGTGTATTTGGTGTATTGTCTACATTCTGCATGTGTTTACCCTGAATAATTAGCACCAAATTCTGCTGCACAGCTGATGATGATGAATGAAAGTGATTCTGATGGTGAACAGCAGTGCAGCATGAATGCGCTTTAGATTCAGCTGAGTGTCAGTCTTTAACCCAGAGCTCCAGCAGTATCAGGCTTCATTTCACACTTCACCACCAGGGGGCGATAAACAGTACGAGATTATAAAACCTTACTGCAGTGGAAGAACTGCTTGTCTGCCTCAGCCTTCATGCTTTTCTCATTGTGAAAAATAAACACAAAAGCAATGAAAAGAAGTGTATTGAGTTGCGCATCATCTTTTGATGTATTGTTTCATATTATTTCACTTTTATATTTACTAACATTGCTTTTATAATCTGTTATTAGGGTTGGAAGCATTACTTTAAAAATACATACCGTTACAGATTACTGATTACCTGAACCTAATCATAACCTAATTTGAAGGATTATTAATAATCTGTTTACTTTGTTACTTTTGGTATACTTGTCCTTCCATATAATTAAAGAAATATAATTAAAAAAAAGCAACAAGATGTTTTCTTCAAAAAACAAAAATGATATAAGTGACTTGCTGCTGTTGACGCTTCGCTTGTTTCGAACTTGAACCCTAAATGCTTCACTTGTCTTCTGAAATAAAATAAACTGAGTATAAGCAGAGTGACAGACATCTGACGACGGTGCTGTTTATCAAATTTACAGCAGGAAACTAATCCATTCACATGAAAGTAACCAACTGTGAAGCAGTCAGTCAGACTCTCTCCACGTTTCTTCCACTTTGTGTCTCGCGTCTTACAGAGTCTTAAGGCTGAAGTCCAAGTCAAAGTCTGGGTCACTAGTGTTGAAGTCCAAGTCGACTTGATTTTCCTCAAGTCAAGTCTCGAGTCATCAAATTCGTGACTCAAGTCGGACTCCAGTCCAAGTCATATGACTCAAGTCCACACCTCTGTTAGCCATTAATGAAACTAACTTTACTGCTTGCACATGGTCCTCTGTTCTCTATACGTCTCTGAACTGTGAATGTCAGCTCACTAAAAATCTCCCTGTTTCCCAAAATGAAAAACGCTTCACATGTACACACTTCATGTGACATATTTATCATTCAAAACAGTGAATTCAGGCAAAAAGTGTTGAGTTTGTGTGTATGTGGTGTGTATGTGGTTTTACTGTAATCCTGCTGGTAATCACTCAGTTTTTATAATGTACCTGTAATCTGATTACTGACTTCTTTATTGCAACTGTAACGGAATACAGTTAAGTGTTGGATCATAACTACGTTACACCACTACATGTATTATGCTATGACCCAAACTTGTCTGTCACATAACATGTTTTACGCCAGTATAATGGATGTTAAGATTAGCTGTTGTCCTGAACATTTCTGTCTTTTTAGTGCTGAACTGTGTTTTGTCTCTTCATCTGAATCTTAAATCCTGTTTTTTTCTCTCTCTTTAAACCCTCAGTGGATCTCAGTTGAGTGTTCCTTTAGATCCTCTCATGAAAAATCAGAAAGAAAGAACACAAGCTGACAGACTAATCAGGAGGAGTGAATTAAAGTCTCAAATGTGTTTCAGTGGAATGTATTTGTCCACAATTTAAGTAAAAATAGTGTTACATATTTGACTTTTTTTTCCAGACTTTGTTAATATGTGCACAAAATACTTGGTAACACTTTGCAATGCTGTTTCATAGTTAAGACGTAATTATTCAGGAACTAAGCAGGCAAGAATGAGTAGTGCTGCATTAACACTTAACTAACTACTATTAGCTACCAAGGAGTACTAGTTAATTATTCAGTGGATAATAGTGAACTAATGATTAGGGTAGTTCACTATTAACTAAACAGTAACTACTGAGTCTTATATATGTCCTAGAGAATTACTTAGTAACTATGGCTTCTTAGAATAACTGCTAATAAAATACTGATCATTAATTACTGAGTCTAGCAATGGCTAATTACTGAGTCTTAAATGGCTAATGCACATCATCCTATCTGGTTGTGTGAATCAAACTACACATTAGGTTAAAAGGGAACAACTGCTAAAAATACTACAGTGTTCAGTAGAGCTGTCTGCTTACGTCTCATCTTTAGAATAGAAAACACCATTTTTCCTGTAGGAGCCTGTGTGCCAGGGTTGTTTTTTCTGTAAACTGGTTATCCTTCAAAATTCTCTTTCAGTGCATGAATAAACCTGTTAAAGAACATCATCCAGAATCCAGATTTCCCCTTTTTTGTTTTCCAATTATAATTGAAAATCGTTTGGTCCTTACATACACAGAGCATAAATCATGAATTCTCAGCTTTTTCAATTTTCCATTCTTAAAATGAAACGAGAAATATGACAGATGAAATATAAAAAGGTCCTATTTTTTAAACTCATTTGATCAACATGTGCACAGGTCACCAACAGGGGGAGCCAGAGGATCTGAACAGAGAAAGAGGTGGGAAAATAACTCAGAGGTCTCCAGCAGGGCAAGACAGAGGATCTGATGAGAAAGGGAGGGGGGTGGGGGGTGGGGGGGTAACTGAGGGGTCTCCAGCAGGGGGAGATTGAACATTATGAACATTATATAGTTCATAGCACAATGTTCTGGATGATACTGATATAATTAACAAGTGTAGCAATAAAATGATTCAATCATTGTTTAATTATCCTTCTACACCTCCTTCAAAATCTTTGCGGTTCTCAAAGTTCCGTCACCTGATATGGGATGATACTTGGCTCTTACTCAATTGAGTTGCAAATGAAACCAGGTCATTTTTAAGATTATATAATAAAGTTAACTTTTTTGTTTACTTTGGAGAAATTTGAACTTAACATAGATTTTAGCTGTTCATTCTCTCACTGGTGGACTGGGGAGGTGCCACTGCCCCTAGTGGTGTAAAAAGCATTTCTAAAGTGCCCTCTTGATTGACAAAAATGAGAGGAAGTGAGGGTTTCCCCTTCATGTAATAAATTATGATGATGTGCTCTCTACAGGAAGAATACTCAATAACGTCTTAATGAGAGCCCTTGTAGTAGAAAAACATGATGTAGTGCCCTATAGTGTGTCCTTCCAAAGGTCTAAACTTCCCATTAGGTGTCCTTCCAGTGGAAAGGGGTGCAGTTATGAAGTGCCCTCTATGCTGCCCCTACATGACAGTGTCTCAAAGGGTGCACCTCCAGTGGTTAAAATGTGATGCAGTGCTGTATAGGGTGTCCTTACATGTGCGAGAATGTGGGAAGTTTCCTAATGGAAACCCCTCTAGTGGAGAAAATGTGACATGGTGCCACATAGGTGCTCTCACAATGGGATAAAATTGCCATTCCCTACAGGTGCCTTTCTGTTGAAAATATCTCATGAAGTACCCTTCCAAGTGAGAAAACATGATGAAGTGCCTTTGCAATGGAGAGGAAAAAATCCCAGTGTAGAAAATGAGACGCAGTGCCCTACAGTCTCGCCTACAGTGTGCCTTCTAGGGCAGGCACCCCCTCTATAACGTTCAGATGTCAGAGTGGGCTCAATGTAGTCTGAGCTGTAATCCTAGCATTCTACTATAGTGTGTGAGCTAATACAGCAAGCTTTCTTCAAAGTTTTACCAATGATGCGTTACTAAATACTAACGTTTTACCAATGATGCGTTACTAAATACGAACGTTTTACCAATGATGCGTTACTAAATACGAACGCTGCAGGTGCTTTTATCTTTTCTGGCTGAATCACATTTTTAGCCCAGATGCCTAGCTAAGGAGCTAGCTACATTGCTTAGCTGATTCTATGTGGTCTCAATTAGCAAATCAAGCAGTAGTTTATTTTTTTTCCTAAGGGAATTATTTTAGGCTAATTTGCCCAAAATGCCCTCAGCACTGTAAAGTTTGGTGTAAATTACTTTTTCAGTTAACTTAAGTGTGGGCTTAGCGTTGGGCTACCCTATGATAACAGAATGCCAAGGAGAGAAAGAAAACTGAAGCAAATACAAAAGGACCTGAAAAATATGTGTAATCTCTCTCCAAAAACATGAAATAAAATCACATTTAAATTATAAATATTCAGAAGACTCAAGTTGATCTAAGCCAGGGGTCAGCAACCTAAATGTGAAGAAGAGCCATTTAACAAAAATCAAATCTCTTTGGGAGCCACAACATTTATGTCCATTTTACCATCTTCACTGTAAATATGTCTCAGTATGTGCTGATGCCCTAGTATAGACTAAAATATATAATATAAACAAAAACACAGACTTACTTTGCTCAGCTGTAGCTTTTTTCTCACATCTCCGGCAGGAAACTTTTCTT